AGGTGAAATACTTTTAATTTTGAATGCAAAAATCTGTGTATAATTTAAAAGCTTATCAAAAAATTCAGAGATAAAGCTTATATTTTGTCACCAAAAGGTAGTTTCAGCTATTTACCAAAATGATAAAAATAAAACTGGGACATCCAGAAATTAAGGTAAATTCTTACTATATCACATGCATGTTTAGTATAACATAGGGACATACTGTACAATTTACAGCACAATCTCTCTGTGGAAGGAAAACATCTCTAATATACTGTTAGATGGGGAGCTTAACATTTTCCTTGCTTTTAGTCTGTACTAGAATACTTAAGCTTTATTGTTTTTTCTATGAATCAGACCATGTAGTCTACAACAATCACGACTATTTTGAAGATTACACATAGGCAAAAAATTTAAGGATCCTAGACCTGTTTTTCTTGTCTGTGGAGAAAGCTCCTTTTGGGTCCCGAATCCATCATGAAACATATTACTTATCTCTTTTAATGAGAAGTCATATTTTGTCAGACTACCATCAAAGGTCTTTTTAAATTTGTTCATAAAATTTTGAACTAAAAGGGCAGAACAATGGCCCTATATGCTTCTCTTCAGGTTTATATCACTCTTTGGTAAGAGCCATCAACCACATGCAAATCCACCTAGCTGTGCCATCACCTGGCCTAGCCTAGTTTTCCCAAACACCTCATGGAGTGGTATGGGAGACTTTGCTGGGTGCCTTGTGAAAAGCTACTAACACTGTGTTTGTTTACTGCTTTTTATCTGACTAGTTAGTAACTAAGTGTGGTGGTGACCTCATCAGGAAGGTTTGTCCTTTTTGTCCATGTTGTATATCTCGTAAAGTTCATTGCCTCCTTTAAGTGCTATTTATATAGCTTTTCAATTCATTTAGTTAATTCATTCATTAAGCACCATTATTAGAACATTATTAGATGCTAAAGATGCAAAAATGAATTAAGTTGGTATGTTTTCAGGGTACCAAGTAAACCAGGCATGCCAATCAGCATACCTGTTCTGCATCATAACATAAAATGAAGCAATTAGAAAGCTCTATCTCTAAATCACCAAAAGGAAAAGGGATACATTATTATGTGGTATGCATGTTTATTAAAGTTCTTATGAATGTAGCACCAAGTGTTATAAACATATGATGATATGATATCTCAAGCCTTACCAAGATATGATTACCAAATGAAGTCACCTGTTTGTCCAGGCTTTACTAAGAATTACTATTTGATACATCTAAATAAAGTCACACTTTTGATAATAAATTATTTTGCATTGAGTCCTCACTCATGAAATTATTGCTCTTCAGTGCCATATTGGCTTTTTCTCTCTCTCCCTTTCTATATCCATACACATATACAGATGTGCACACACACACACACATTACCACTATTAAATTTTTTGGTTCATTCACTTGAGAATAAGTTGCAGGTATCATGACCTTTCACTTCTATGTACCCGATCATATCTCCTAAATCCCTAAATCCCTCCTAAGGACAAGAACATTCTCTTACATAAGCACAATTCACTAATCAAATTCAGGAAATCTAACCATGATATATTATTATTATCCAACATACATCCCACTTCAAATTTCACCAATTTTCCCCATAATTAAATGTCTTCTATGGCATTTATTTCTCTGATCCAGGAGTCAATCCAGGATTACACATTTCTTTGGTTGTCATGTTTCTTGTCTCCTTTTCTCTAGAATGGTTTCTCAGCTTCTCTGTGCCCTTTATGAAATTCACACTCTTGAGTATAGGCTAGTTGTTTGTGGAAGGTCCTTCAGTTGGGTTTCTCTCATTATTTCCCCAGGTTATTTTTCAGAGTTCCCCAGGGCACTGCCTCATGTGTGATCTGGAGCCGGTCCTTCCAGTTCTGTCTGTCTGGCTGATTTAACTGCCCTCCACATGGCTGCCGCTTCTGCTCCTACACACTTCAAGAGAAGGCCCAGCTCTCTCTCTGTTGACAGCCACCACTCAGATCCACTCAGGCCTCTGAAAAAGTGCATTGCAGCCCCATGGCCTCTCACTCCAAACTCTGAATGGTTGTTCCTTAATTCCTCACAGCACACCTGAGGCTGGGCTGTAGCTTTTCAACAGAACTTCATTCTATGTTTGAGGGTAACACAAACATAACACAGAGAATGATGTCAAACTGCTACTAAAAGTTGTTACTCTTAGAGCCCACAGGCTAACACATGACCTCAGAGTCTTTAAATAAAGTGGTTCCCACCTCCATATGGAAGGGTCAGTTCACTCGATCACAAATGCTCCCATACTGTCAATGGTGGGGAGTTCGGAACCAGCAGGGTACCAAGGCCTGGAGAGAGTAAACCATTATCCTCAATGTCCTCATTTCCTGATTTAGGATAGGAGGATTTACTTCCCAGGATGAGAGATACTAAAGACATCCATTCCCTTACCTGGGAACCTTACTTTTGAGTATTAATCAGGCTCCATGGCTCAGCAGACCCAGTCCTCCCAGACCACATTTACTAAAGTTAGACTGTCTAGTTTTATATTACACCACATGTGGGCCACCAAGAATGCAGCCTGGAAGAATTACCACAAGCCAAATACAATTCCTTTATAGCCTTTCCTCCAGCATGCAGTGAAGAGAAGAATGGTTCTTCACACCCCTACTACAGCCAGGTTTTCATTCCTGATCTCCTGTAAACAAATGCTTGGGCAAGAATCAATCATCACATCTCCCAAGACCAACCAGCAATTTTCAGACATAAGAAATTCTAAATCTAGATTGAGGAAAAAATTATAACTCTGCAGGAGCATAACTGAGCTTAAGATACACCCAATTTACATTACTAAATAGACTGTCAAAGCATTTGCATTTGGGTTACTTCATCGCGTTTTGGCCTTCTTTTAGAAAAACAGTGAGTACTTACTTGCCCTTATACCTACACAATTAAAAGGCCCGTTGAAGTGATGTTTACAAAACCTGATTTAGCAGTTTGGCCCCAAAGGTAAATTCCAGTGTCTATCCCAGAGGTGAAACTGCTTATAACTTCAAGACTGGAAGGCCTTCCACCCTCAATTATTTTTACTATTTTAAGGCAGACTTTCAATGTTTTCAAATGTCATACCTTTCCAGCTTTTTCACCCAGAGTCCTCTCTCAATCTTTTTTTTAAGTAACAGAATCCTTTTTTTTTTAAGATTTCATTTATTTATTTGTCAGAGAGAGAGAGAGCACAAGCAGGGGGAAGCAGGCTCCCCACTGAGCAAGGAGCCCAGTGCAGGACTCCACCCCAGGACCTTGGGATCATGACCCGAGCCGAAGGCAGATGCTCAAGCGACTGAGCCACTCAGGCGTCCCTCTCTCTCAATGTCTTGTGCTCCTGCCAAACAAGAGCACTTTGCTGATCTCTGATTCTACCCCTTACTTTCTCACTTCCCCACTCTTGCTTCTCTGGGCCTCTCATCTTGAATACTCTCCCCATCATCCTGAACTCTCAAACTTATACTTAGCTGTCAGGGACCAACTCTAATGCCATCTCCCAGTCTTTCCAAATGGATGTGATAGATTTTTCCTCTTAAATCTCATAGCACGATATTTGTAACTTTTTCTTTTGGCAGCTATATTCTACCTTATGTTGCATTTACTAGGTTCATGTCTTATCTGTCCTACTAGGCTTCCTTCCAGTGCTATACTCCTCTTCATATCTCTCCCATCATCTGGCATGGTGCCTTGCAAATAGCAGGCATTCCCAAAAGATTTGCAGAGTTGAAGTGAACTAAAACCTAGTGAATATAATATCTCAATTGATAGCTCTGACCTAAATTACATCACATGACAAATCTGAAAATACTAGTTCAAGAGTGAGAGATGAAATGTTTCAATTTGTTGTTAATTTGCCAACCACAGCTTTGGCTAATCATTAGCAAAGACAGGCATTATAAATAGAGCGCTTTTTAAGTTAAAACTTACGGACATTTGATGACACAGAGTAGAGCAACTGGATATAATGGTTCCTGGGTTCTAGAGCTTGAGGTTTATGAGAAAAGTACAATCCCAGCTACATGAGAAATAAGAAATTGCTACTGCTGTCTCTCCTATTTGGTTGGCTATAGTGAACGGAAAGTTAAAAGTAGAAAAAAAAAAAAGAGGATGTAATAGGCTGAAAGATCTTTAGTGACACATTTCTGGTGATGTTTTAGTCATTCTATTACTATTATCAAATGTAGTCACTGAAGGCCTATTAGAACAGGCTGCTGGTCAGGTAATTCTATCACAATGTAATGAGATGGAAAAAATATCATATGACAAATGTACACAGGTTCCCCTTAGGGGAGACTCACCTTTCTTACGGATAAAGCCTTGAGAAGCCTGTAAAGAGTGACTACTTCCCTGCAGGGTATAGGTTCAGATGGTTTGAAGTCTTCTGAGGAGGAAGAGAGACAAAAAGAGAAATTTATTTGCATTTGGGGTGGGGCGGGGGGGAGAAAGGAGAGACAGGAAAAGGAGAACAATAAATGCCATGTTGGGTGGAATACCGTGAACCAAGCAAGGTGACTCTTCTCAGTGATCTCCTGCGTACTCAGGAAATTTTACAAAATCACAAAAAGCTTGAGGTGATTGGATTTCTTCTGAAAACCAATAAAATGGCCAAGTTCTGCATCATGGTTTTTGTGGTAAATAAAGTTGAGACGGTAAGCTCTGGGGCAGGGGCCTGAGTCAGAGAAGAGCTGGAGGCCTTAAGTTGATGAGAGTCCCCAGAAATCCTGGGGACTTCCCCACACCCCTTGGAAATTAGAGGCTTTGAAAAAATTTCCCCCAGAGTCCAGAAGTAGAGAAGCCCTTAGATAAAATCAGCATTACTGAAGTTTGGTGGTCACAGGCTTATAATCTAATACTCCAGAAATAATAACTCATGACTTATTTACATAAACATTACCTCTGTTTATTAAAAAAAAAAGCAAATAATGCTTGAGGCGGTATCATATAGCATTTTTTTTTTATTTTGTATATTTGAAACTTTAGGGTTAGTTTATTAAGTTCAGTGATGAAAGCCATCAGAAGAATAGTCCCCTGGAAATTATTTTTTCTTAGAAAAAAAGAAAGAAAAATCAACACGTCAGCACAGCCACACACGCTGTGGCAGTCACACCTCTCTGCAGATGGGGATAGTCCACTCGCTGGGTCAGCAGGATTATTGTCTGGATCCTCCTCCTCATCCAAGTCATCCATTTCTTGGAACAGAGATTCATCTACCTCTACATTGTTTCCAGCATCTTCCAAAAACTGGATATCAGATGTGTCAAGAATTATGATTTGTTTCAAAGAGCTGTTTCCCACTTAATTTATTTTTTCCAGCTTGTACTTCTTCTTTCATTCGTTTCTTTTTAATTTCCAAGAGTTCTGCATCAAACTTGGCCTTCCAACTTAAGAAATTTTCAGTTGTAACAGGAGTGCCATGAATGCTTTTCAGCTTCCTCTGCCTCTTTTTCTTTCTTTTCTTCTTCTCTTCTAGTTTTTATTTGATCTACTATTTTGTTTAGTTTTTCTTGCACAGCTGTCACGAAAGTAAAGATCATCACCATACCAAGGTTTTCTTCTGCCTGTAATGCTAATAGTTTTAAAAATGTCGGAGACATCATTATCTTCTAGATTTTCCTGGGAGAATATTTCATAAAGAGGAGTTTCATCTGGGTATTTTTCACTGTATGTAAACTTGAGGGTAGTCTGGACAGTTTCATCATTTTCTCCAGCCTCAGATGTCACAGTAATGGTGAAACTGGGTGGATTTTTCTGATAATACTGTGAAGGAGTTGGGGTAGATGGACTCCAGAGCCTCCAGCTCGTTGCGCGGCTCCTCACTGTAATTTGTCATCATGGCCCTCGCTGCGCCCATGGACCACCCAGGCAGCCAGACAGCGCGCTGCAGCTGGGACTGCAGCCGAGCCAGGAGAGCCGGCAGCAGCCGGACAGGTGCAGGTGTACAGTCCCCGGCTGGGAGGCTTGGGGCCCAAAGCAAGGCTGGGCCTGCTGAGCAACAGCCCTGCACGGGCCTACGCCTGCTCTCTAGTTCCTAATGTAGCATTTATGAGGAAAGATTCTGGAGCCACATGCCTGGGTCTGATCCTTAACTCAACTTTTTACCAGCTTTGTGATACTGAGTAAGTTATTTGACCCTTTGTGCCTCAGTTTCTTCATTTGAAAAATGGAGGAAATGAAAGTAGCTCTCTGTGAGCCAAGGGTCTAACAAGTCTATTATTCCTCTGTGAGACTTAGCCATTAGTTGACTATCCAGCTCTGTTCTCCTAGTGACCTGGAAAAAGTAGAAATGCCAACTATGTTACTAGACATTGTTGTTTATGGTAAAAATGAGCCTGAGTGGTACATTGCATCTGGACTGGGAGGAATTAGAAAAGAATGATAACTATCGATGGGGATATTAGGCTTTGGGCTTCCCTGAGTATGGTGAGCCTTAAAACCAGGTTTGTACCTTGCAGGATCCTTGTAGCTATAACATCAACATCCTACATGAGATATTAATATATGACCCAGCAATTGTGCTGTTTGGTATTTACCCAAATGAGTTGAAAACTTATGTCCATATGAAAATCTACGCATAAGTGCTTAGAGCAGCTTTATTCAAAATTGCCGAAACTTGGAAGCAACCAAGATGTCCTTCAATAGGTGAATGGATAAACAAACTGTGCCACATCCATACTCTGGAGTATTATTCAGAAATAAAAAGGAATGAGCTAACAAACTGGGAAAGGACATGGAGGGATGTTAAAGGCATATTGCTAAGTGAAGGAAGCCAGATTGAAAGGCTACACACTGAATGTCAACTATATGACATTCTAGAAAAGGCAAATCTTTGGAGAAAGTAAAAAGATTAGTGGTTGTTAGGGGTCTGCAGGAGGGAGGGAGAATGAATAGGTGGAGTACATGGAGTTTTTAAGACAGCGAAACTATTCTGTACGACACTGTGAAGGTGGATATGTGACATTATGCTTCTGTCAAAATCCACAGAATGTACAAAACCAAGAGTAAACCCTAGTATAAGTTATGGACTTAAGTTAATAATAAGGTATTGACCGTGGCTCATCAAGTACAACTGTACCACAGTAATATAAAATTTTAATAATAAGGGAGACTGTGTATGGATAGAGGGATGAGGGGGTATATGGGAACACTCTGTACTTTCCATTCGATTTTTCTGAAAATTGTGGAGAATGAAGCTTCTGAGCCAGGTGGATCCTGCACTCACCCCATGTGGGTCTTTTTCTGCCCCAGAGCTATTGGTCTACTTCAAGAATTGCCACTGAAGAGAGAAATGTCTGAAGTGGCTGGTAAGCTTTGGTTCATCTCCTATATCCTCCTGAATAGGCTGGTGGCTCATGGTCACTTGGTCTGAGCATTTGATTGAGCCTAAGAAGATCTTCTGGTGGGCTATGCACTAACTAGCTCATAAAACAGTTGTGAAAATTAAGTGAGGTAACATTGGCAAAGCTCTCAGGACAGGATTTGGGCCATGTAAATGTTACGTGATTGTTAGTCATAATTTATTACAGGAGTGGTTGTCGTTAAACATTTTAATAATTACATCTCAAAAGATTATGAGTGATATGCCATCTGCAATATCAGATCAATATATACTTTGTATGTATATATCCACAGGGATATATATGTTATATGTATAGATACAACATATGTATTTATTATATAATGCCTTGCACATAAGTAGGTGTTTGTTTTATATTCTTTTCTAAGATGGTCCGTCAGGTGCAGCCACAAGAGGAGACATGGGAAACACTCAGGAAACAACAGTTTATTATACTCAAAGATCCCAGAGACAGGAGGCACAGCCTGCCACGCAGGGCCACAAGGGTACCAGGGTGGTGAAAGGCAGAAGATAGGAGCAAAAGAGGTTTAGGCCAGAATCTTTGTTGGGGTTTCCCCAACAAAGGTAAGGCAGAACAGGGTAAACAGTTTAGGATTGGCTAGTTTGAATATTTTTCATGGGCTTTGGGCTACAAGGATGGCCCTTAGTTGCCATCATGATACCTGGCCCTGGGATGAGCAAGACAAAGGAATATTGTCTCCTGAGGGGCCAGGCTAAATAGATGAGGTCTGACTCTAGATTGGTTAGTTTGCATATGAAGGACATACTCCGGGCCCTCTCTAAGAATTGTCTAGGTCAGGGAAGAGCAATCTCCCCCCGCCCCCCGCCCCCAGCCCCACCGCTCCTGACTCCACAGCCGCCCCCCGCTTGCCCTGGGCTTGCACCTGCCTGCCTGCCAGCCCGCCCAGGGGACGTGG